GGAGTATAGTATTATAAAACTGTTGGAGGTATTACGAAATGTCTGAGGAATGAAATGTTACAAAACTGTCTGAGGAATTGGGGTATACTAAAACTGTCTGAGTAAGTGAAGTGTTACAAAACTGTATGAGGAATCGTGGTATTTTAAAACTGTCTGAGGAATTGAAATGTTACAAAACTGAATGAGGAATTGGGGTATTACAAAAATGTCTGAGGAATTGAGGTATTTCAGAACTGTCTAAGGAATTGAAGTGTTACAAAACTGTTGGAGGTATTACGAAATGTCTGAGGAATTGAAGTGTTACAAAACTGTCTGAGGAATTGGGGTATTCTAAAACTGTCTGAGTAAGTGAAGTGTTACAAAACTGTATGAGGAATCATGGTATTTTAAAACTGTCTGAGGAATTGAAATGTTACAAAACTGAATGAGGAATTGGGGTATTACAAAAATGTCTGAGGAATTGAGGTATTTCAGAACTGTCTAAGGAATTGAAGTGTTACAAAACTGTATGAGGAATTAAGGTATTACAAAACTGTATGAGGAATTGAGGTATTAAAAAAATGTCTGAGGAGTTGTAGTATTACAAAACTGTTTGAGGTATTACAAAACTGTCTGAGGAATTGAAGTGTTACAAAACTGTCCGAAGGAATTGAAGTGTTACAAAACTGTATGAGGAATTGAAGTGTTACAAAACTTTATGAGGAATTGTGTTATTTTAAAACTGTCTGAGGAATTGAAGTGTTACAAAACTGTATGAGGAATTGAGGTATTACAAAACTGTCTGAGGAATTGAGGTATTAAGTAGGAATCCATAAAATAACTTCCCCACAAATATACTTCTCTAACCCAATTGTCAACATGAGCTGCAAAACAGATGCTTTAAATGAAACTATGCTTACATAACATCAGATCAATTAGCTTGATCACCATGCCACAACACGCAATGCCACTCAGCAACTCAACACCATCCTGTCAAAGATAGCTTGTCAGGTAATATAAGCCCACTGGCAGCTTTGGTTTTAAATAGAAATATTTGGCAGTACAGTAATAATTACCAGTATGAAATATTCAACCTTCAGTCTTACACTTCTTTTGAACTTTTTGGGACAAAACCAAGTTTCATCAAAATCTGTCAAGACTTAGACCTTCTAGAGTGTTTACAGGCTAAAACTTTAATGCTTTTTTAAGAATAAGGGCAAGAATTCAAACTAATTATTTTTCAATCCTTCTGATTTTCGATATGGTTCATCCTTGGTTGATAAACACACACCAAGTTTTGTCAAAATCCATCAAGAATTGTGTCTTGTAGAGTGTTTATGGGCTAAAAATTTCATGTTGGCATATAAAAATGGCTATGATTACTTTTGTATCTATATTAAAAGACCTGAATTTATGAGGCATATAGGATCAATTCTGGACACAAAACTCAATATATTACATAAATAAGCTTTTATTTCAACAATCTGTAACAGTAACAACACTCTATATTGTGATCAGTGATACATTTAAATTAGTGACATACTTCACAACACAACTTGTGATATTTGAAACTGATGTGAAATATTTAAACGTCTGCAATAAACATGAACCAATCAATTTTCACATGATTTTCACTTTAATAGAGGCTAATTTCAGCTGTGTGTTTATTGTACTTCAATAATAAAATTTGATGTCCATTAAATCTGCAATTCAAATATCATAAATGTGGGAGTCAAGCTCAAAAAGATAACAGTCTGAGCTTCTACAGTACAATTTTATTGAAATGCACTAGAGATGACATTGAACTCTATCTGTTGGTGAAGCAAATATTTCAACAACTATATTTCTTTAATTCAAAACTCAAAGCCGTCATTTAGCCAAATCTTTTTATTGCTTTTATTTGGACCATTCCTATTTGGACAATTTGTCCTCCTGTAATTCCAGAAAAAGAACCATGGTATGGTTTGATTGGATATTGTCATTGTTTAATATCATTTTCATAATTTGAAACCACAGACGTCTGTGTGACTAGAACCCGTCAGTGCTCCAGATACACATCAAATACCCCTAAAAAACCTCAATTTTTCTATCTGAACTGGTATTCTTAAAAACAAGAAAACTGGAATTTTCAAGCCCTATTTCAAAAAATGCTGTCATAATAGAATTAAACCTTAAACATTAACATTAATATTCTATTATTGATCGGATATATTCTGATTAAAACTCTATATAAATAACTCTTTATATTTACAACTGGACGGAATTCAATCAACAATATAATAATTATTAATACTACCTGAGTATCTGTACAGTGACTCATATCTGTTATTATGACCTAACAGATAAGGTATTTGTGTGCCTTCAAATAGCATTAAAATTCTCACAACAAGACATTAGTTAAATTTTTACAAAAATAATAGTTAATAAATAGTGTAAGAATTTCTTGTTTTCTTTTCAACTTTCAGCAGAGGAAATGTCAAAAATAACCAATAATGGCTTTACTATACAGATAGTTTTTTTTCTCCATTGATAATGTAAGATCAATTTTTAATGTACATGTATATCACAGACACAACTGCTACAACTAACAACATATAATAGAGGCAACTTGTGCATTATACTTAATTATACAAAATGAAATTTAAAAATATAACAACATCATAGGAAATATACCATTATCTCTTAAAATACAGATTTAAATCAATAATAAACCGGTCTTAAAGCAACAGATGTGCCATTTTTTTTTACCAATCATACCTTATTCTCAGAAACAGGATTTTTTTTTAACTAAGCCAATCAGTTATAGTGTTCACAGTTCACCGTCGAAATTTGAGCCTTTAAATCCATGTGTCCAGAATTATCTGTGTCAAGATACTCTGTGATAAATAGAAAAAGCTCAAATTTTGACAGTGAGCTGTGAACACTATAACTGATAGGCTTACCTAAAAAAAAATCCTGTTTCTGGGACTCAATTATGATTGGTCATTGGCGCATCTGTCCCTTTAAATAAAATGGCAAAAAATATGTTTATCGAAGGACTTGCAAAGACAGTAAGTTTTGGAGACAATCATATTAATTTCATTATTTCGGTAATAAGCTTACTTTTTAATTTTTTTAAAGAATATATTGAAATTCATCCAACTATTTTATGGAATTTAGCTTAATATACATGCATGGCAAACAAATATATGTACAAGTAAATCACTCTTGAAATATTATTTTTTTTAACTCTGACTTAAGACACAGATTTCAGAGCTACTTCTGAACTCTTATAGTACTAGTTTACCCTTTTATATCTTAAACAAAAAAATATCAAAATATTGCACTCTGATAATCTAAATTTGTCTTATACTATTAGTTGAAGGGATATACACAATTGTCTAAAAATATACATTACTAATGTACATAATATTGATGAATTTCAAATTAAAATCGTTTTACATCAATTTCTTGATTAAAATTTCATTATGAATCTATTCAACGCAAATATGTTCAGTCATCTAGGCTTCCTGAAAATTTATCTATGCACTTTGTAGAATTTCTATACATTGACCTGGCAACAGAGAAACCATTTTAAACATTCAATATGAGAATTGCTGTATTAAATACTACATAAGATGAACTATGGATCTGAAACTCTTCACTTTTAGAGGTGTGAATGTGAAATTGTTGCTGATTGGTTCATTAACAATTGGTGGCCCAATGAAAATTCATTTTTCATAATCCAATGTCTGCTTAAACAATAAAAATGGAGTGAGAAATATTTATGTAAAATAGACAAATCTTTTATAACCTTTTGTGACTTGGATATTTTTAATTGAAACTTTCAAAAAAGGTAGGGGACATATTCCTCTAAATGATGCCATGCAGATTAAATTTCACACACTAAGCCAGGAAAAACTGATTCGAAAAATTTGACTAACACCTTAAACAGCCCTTTTATATTTAAATTCCTTCAAAAAAACTGACTATTTCATAGATGACCTTTTCCCATTAATAATGGCAAGACATCTCCTTCTATTGCATATCCCTCTAACAAAATTTAACAATATCTAAAAAATATACAATAACAAAAATTACATAAACAACCAATACCAAATTATTAATATAAGTTAGATTTTAAAGAAATATCACAGTTGTATTCATCTAGTCAATTACTATATATCTTGATTATAATTTGACACTCAAACATTGAGCACTGTCCTTATATGGGGATTGTAAAGAGGTTTTCTAAACTTTTTAAGTGTATCAGGGACACTGATACCATCAATTTGTACCATTACAATTTTGTAGTTCTTGCAAATCCACTAAAAGTAAGCGTTTCATGCCGTCACTATCACAAAAACTGCTATAAAGGACCTTTTTGACAGTGACGTCATAAAACGCATTGTTTAAGTGGATTAGCAAGAACCACACACATCTGACTGAAAATTTGTATGTTGCAAATCCATGTTATTAGTGTCCCTGATACACATAAAAAATTTAGAAAACAATCTGTTTAAGTTCTCTAGGTACTGAATATATGTTCCAGATAAAAGACTGATATTTCCATCATTAAAATATTTAATTAATTAATATTCTATTGGCATATTGTTGTCTTAAATGACAGAAATATCAGACTATCATTAGAAGGACTAGATAGAAAATATATACATTTTAAAGATATCGTAGCTACATTTATATAGTAATTATATACAGTACCATGTATTTTATCAATTTAAAGGTATACTACCTCTTTGAATGGACGTAAAATTCAATGTCTCAAAATTGGTCAATATGAGTATATATTCATCAGTTTGATTTACCATAACACGATATACATTACTTAGTTTTATAGATTTATTGGATTATAGAGGGATTCTATTGTATCGTTTTGACACCAGGTAAGTCCACTGATAAACAAACACTCATTTTGGCCAAGTACAAAAATTTGAATTTTTTGGTCATCCTAAAGATAAAGATGGTTTATCTTAAAGAACATAGCATATTGCACATCTATGTACATTTAGTTTTAAAGTGTGATTTTGCTTTTCTAAAAAGGAACATTTACAACAAAGTATTAAAATATTTTTTTTGTAACTTTTCACTAATTGTGGCCATGCACTTGAGCATTAAACATTGCCAAATTAGCCTGTTTCAGACTCGTATTAGTGCTGTAACAACGAAATAATAAAAAGCAGGAATGTTTATTCTAAACCAAAGCCTTCAGCATTGTTGATAGCTTTCATTAATTTCTGTTTTAAAACTTTTCTACTTTTATATGGTGGTAAAACTAACTGATTAAAACATGTGTGAGCCATTGGTAATCTGAAAAGAATCCAGAAACTAGTGATATAGATGATGTCACACAATATGACTAATATGCTGATTGGGATTTATAATTCATGTTTTCCCTGTAGATTACTACAAACTGTGATCTGAGGAAATTCTTACCTTTACCTGAGTCAAAAACACCCGTTATTAATCTGCATATTAATCAGATATGATTTATGATTTATATAAGCTTTTGCAAATATTCTTATTAAATTAATAAGGGATCTACAGCCTCTACGCGATTAATTTTTTCTTCCACAATGCATCGATAAGAAGGAACGAATTGCGGTTCATTGATTCAACGGTGAATCATTGAGGCCCTAATGGACAGACATTACTGTCAATAACCTTTCACATAGAGATGTGGGTGTATAAAAAGCTAAATCAGAACAAAGAAAACATTAAAACAGACACTTGCACCAACTCTGCAAGAAGCTGTACATAATCATTCTTGCATAATCATTCTTGCATAATCATTATAAACTAAAGAAACGTTACATCACTTACAATTCACTACCATCTACTTTAGTGATTTTAAAATGCATCTCTGACATTCCACCAATAGGTATTCTGTCACTACCAGTAGTAAATAGTAAAAATTTCTTCTGATAATCTACTGACATATTGGTAACAACATCCCAAAATGTTCTGAAAATAAAATCATCAAAATCTTATACATATTACCAAAACATCAACTCAATTGTACCAAAACGGAAGAGAAACATTTATTATGGAAATTGGCAAAGCTAATATTATGGACTATAGATTTTCATACAAAATAATGTGCATTACGAATTAATCAATAGATCTTTATTATGCCTTATTTGTGAGACACTGATAGCGAGGTTCATAATGCAAATTACCTCATCAAATTTAAAGATAGTACGTTAAGTACATGGAGAACACTGTACACCTGATCAACAGCCAGAAAATGGGCTTTAAAAGGTTTTCCTTATTTTTTAGTGTCAAATTAATCAAACTATTTGATTAATTGGTGTTACTAATGAATTATCATGTATTCTTAATCATATCATTATGTTCTTATATTGCATGTAATTGTCCATGTATGTACAGTCTGGATAAACTAAAAAATACTTTTTGACCTTTCTTGATCGGTCACTCATTGGAATTCTGCTGGTAATTCTCATCTAATTTACCTAATGATGAATATTATGAACATGTGAGACAAACTGGTATTTTTCCAAGTGATTAGAAAACCTCTACTTTCTATTCATATAATTATTAGCATTTTCATGAAAATAAGGAAACCCATCTTTAAAATTGCCCTTTCTCAGAAATGTATAAAGGTGAACTTCATCTAAAACCATCATTCAATATCTTAATCAATTCCAAATTTAATCACGTAAAATATTTCAAGTTAGTGGGGTTGGAGAAGGAGGCTTTAAAGACGTCAAGATGACAATTTCACTGCAGTGCCTTTTTCATTTGGGTTAAAAGCTTTATTCTGTATTCAATATGGCTGACATGTAAATAATGTCTATTACAAGAGCAATATCAATCAAAATGTATCAAATTATGTCCTGCTCAAGGTACGAAGTGGTCAACAAGCAACTAAAATGCCTTCAATTCAGAAAAGCGGTGTAAACTTACTTGATAATTTGATCTGTAGCATTATAACCATCATAAACTGTAACTTTCTGTAACTGTGACATGTCAATAGTAGGATTACCACATACTAACATTTCTACTTCTTCTGGTCTTAACATCTACAATAATATACATCAAATACACCAATCTTTTTAAAAACTATAACAGTTTATTTTTGATTTTTTTTCTGTGGGTGATTCCATGATCTGTTGAATTTGTTATTCAACCACTTAGATTAAATGGAAGAATTCTTGGATTATTAATAAGAATGAAGCTTTTAAAAGCATGATATAACAATAATTCCACTGTACATAATAATTGTGTGTTCTAAATTATTGAAATTGGTAGTTACTGTAGTGTCTAATTATTTGTTGTCTGGATCATAATAAGTTATCTCCCTTCACGGAACTCTTTGTTAAGGGAGTTTTAAAAAGTGTACCAGTACAATGACTGAATAAATATTAAAATTACTAATACAATAGTTAAATCTGTCAATACTCCTTAGATGGGCTGGGCATCAACCCCTACAGTTACAAGTACAACTGATAAAAAAAATCTTATTTTTTACCCAACAATAAAAATACCAAACAGACATTTGAAGCTATGTGGACTACAAATGGGATGCTGTGTCATTACAAACATAGTCATAGAGTGGCATCAGGTGTTCCAGAAGAGTAAAAATACCCCGATTCAAAGTGGAACCCACTGGTCTTATCACCACATAATGTATTGTGTCGTCAATACTTGATAATTAAGATAGTAAAAAAATATCTATTTATATTGCTTTACTTACAATAAGAGCATTAGATGCACAAACACTATGAAAACCATGATAAAAAGCTTGAAAATGTCGATAAACAGATTTATTTAAAACCCAATCTACATACAAACTCACATATTCTGTAAAGAAAAGAATAATTATTTATATTTACATTTCTACTATCACTCCCTTCAATAAACCAGTTAACCAATAACTGTAGTTTGTCACGTGACAATAAGGCGTATGAATACATCGAAAACGAAAACAAGGATTGACCAAAGTTTTGGAAAGCCATTTTAAAAGGGTTTCTAACAAAAATAGAACTTTTTGGTGTATTTTATCAGAAAAGATAAACCAATGTAAATATAAGGAATGAATGTGGATCTTGTTATCGTTATGGGGAAATAAACCCTGGTTTATCATGCGACAAGACGTACATGACACGCTTCGCCGGCGCTTATTTCCCCATAACGATAACAAGATCATTCCTTAAATATCAGATAGAATTACATCTTCTTATTGATACAAGATGAAATATTTTGAAGAATATCTTTACGAAAGAAAAATACATCTGATTGATTTAATAATGTTTTACTATCGATTGAAAACCTTATTAAATGGTAACCAGGTGCAAGTTCCTGATGGCAATAATTTCCATGTAACATTAAGGGGCTTCAAAAGATCAAAATATGCCCACTTCTGGATGTGACACAAGAAACTTTCTCGAAACAACATGTTTCAGGTTCCGTTTTTTTTTTTCATATATTAATATATGCCATATAGAGTTTACGTTACCATACCTTTTCTATTTTTAGATGTAACAGGAATTTTTTCACCATTTGGCTTTAAAGGAGTTGTAGTAACTGAACCAAACTCACTATGTGATACCTAACAAAACAAAAAACATTGATATCATTGAGCACTTTTCTTGTTTCTCGTCCATTTGTGATGTGAGTGGATTGTACGCTAGCAAATACAGCCAATCAGAGCCTTCGAATATGACTGGAGGAAAACAAAGTATTGAACCGTAAGGTGACTAATTATAGCTTTCAGAGGTGAGGTAAGGTAAGGCACATTCAAATCTACAGTTACACACAAGTTTATACATAAGAGAACCAGTTCAGAGGAAAACAAACTCACCAGAAAGGTCAGACAGAAATCTTCTTCTACATCACCAGGATATTCTAATAGATCTTGTAACCCTTTAGCCACTTCCTATAATAAATAGAAACTTGCTCATCTTTCATTCATATTTTGAATATGTATAAATTTATAAATTACCAAGATAATTTAGGAAAAATCTAAACATTTTTTCAGTTTATCAATGTATAAACATAAAAAACGTGTGTACACTGTATGCATGAAGACATAGAAACAGACGATATCGACCACGTCAATCAAACTAGATGATCAAAGTAGTCTGTTAAGGGGCGGAGCTTATATTTACATTCTGTTTACATAGATATAAACCTGCTGTTATCCAATCAAATTGCTTGATACTGTGTAAACGGAATCGTGATATAATTATTGTCAAATACTAAATCTTAAGCTGTCAAATAATTTTGAAAATGTTTATTTATGAGGTTATCTGTACCTAGATAAATACTCAATGGGAACCTTCTACAATTTAAAAATTTAGTAAATCAAATCAAGAAAATTTGGGCATTGCTATACCCTTCTTTAACAACCTTTAAAGTTCATCTATTGTGGCATGGTTAACATTTATTAACTCAAATGTACAATTTGAAAATGCCAGATTAGATTTTTTCAGCGGTCTTAAGGAAAATGCAACGGACATTCTTGAGTCAAATTCAACAATGGTACATGGACACAAAAGTGGTCCACAACACATTAAAACTTACTGGTTGTGTCTGTATCAGATCATCAAGATTAAAATTAGATACACCAACAGTGGCTCTAGGATTACTGAATGGTACTACAGCTGGACTGAGTAATTTCTTATAACAAGCTGGTGGAAACCTGACATCTAAATTAATACTATTATATACAGCTAAACCCATTAACTATAGTTACATTAAGGAAAGGTAAGCATAATAATTGTTTTTAAACAACCCAGCTCTACATAATAGCAGACACTAGAAATCTGGGAAAAATTAATGCCCAGTTGTTTGTTTTTGTAAAATATGCTTTTTTCTTTACATAATGGGCACACAAGCATTCTTGGTCTGAGACTTTTGTCGCTGATTAGAGTCTTGTCTTGAGTTTCAACGACTGGCATGGGCACACGAGGAGACAAAAATCTCCAGTCGGTCGTTTCCCACCTTGTCGATAATCATGTGCGGAGCATGCTATTGGAGAAAATGAATCTGATGGGATGATGATGGTCCGTTTTGCAGACGATAAAATTATCGGAAACAATTATCAAACTTGTTTGATATTATACATCATGCGATAATCTTGTCATGAAAGTACGGGCACATGTCAGATTTTACTCAAGATTCGAGTCGTAGACAAAAATCTCCGACCAAGACTGCTTGTGTTGCATTCTGATGACGCCTAATATTTCTTACAAACGAAAAATGGTGGAAACGGATTCCTTTACCAAAAACAATCTATGCATACATCTATGCATTAAATGTTATCAACTAACAAAATCAGATGACCATGTGACAATTGGGAAATATTACTGGTAAAACGTGCTGCTGTTAAATCTAAAATCTGATGCTAAAAGACTTTTGACTGTAGATTGTTTTCACCATTCTAATTAACCACATTGTAAATAGAAATAATCTGGACGATAGTTCAGAACATTAGGAAGCTAATGAAAAAAGAATTTCATGTCGGCAAGAGATATGTGTTTTTTTTTTTTAGTAATGGATGAAAAGGATACAACTCCAACTAGGTTAAACTCTTGGTAATTCTCTCGAACGTTCGGATTAAACCAATATACACCAGCTCTTTTATCATATTTAAACATACCTGTATAATAAAATACAATTATAATTATGACCTTGACTCATTGTCTCTCCAACATTTCTATAATCAATACATGTTTTATCTTGTTGCACTGCAGCCAGTTAAAGGGAAGGGTGCACCATTCTTTTTGACCAATCATACTTTAGTCTCGGAAATGGGATTTTAGCTTAGCCAATCAATAAAAGTGTTCACTGTTGAAATTTGAGCCTTCAAATCCATATTTGGCCAGAATTATCCGCGTTTGAATATTAAAATGACGACTCATCATTTCATTATACTCTATGATATATAGAAAAGACATATATATAGAAATAGTGAGTAAAATTCCTAGTTTGAAATATTTTTGAAGGAATTAAGCGATTTTCGTACATTTCTAGTACTTCTGAAGACTATTTACATATATTCAAGACTCAAATCAACCCCCAAAATGGCGCATCTGTCCCTTTAATTTGTATCAGGGATCAGATACGAAATATTTGAATGATTTTGATTTTGTATTTATTTACTATAGAACTTATAAGTAAAAGTAAACTCTCACCATATTCTTGTAGAAATATCTGTCTGAGTAATAATAAAAACCACTCTTTTGTTAAACCACCCATATCTAAACCAGGCTCACCAGAAAACGTCACTTTTAATTTCTTCTTTAAATCATGTTGTTTACATGCAATCTAACAAACAACAAAATAAGATTGCATCAGCTACAACTCAAATGGAATAAAACTATAGTCCTAAATTATGTCTCCAGATTCTCTGGTTGAACTTAGGTCCTCAGACTGATTGAAGTTTCAGCAGCAGTCAGACTACACTAACCTCATTTTGAAAGTTCAGTCTGACTAAAACAAAGTTCAGTCTGACTAAACTAACCTTTTGCAGTCAAAGGTAGCCCGATATAATTCATTTGCACTCAAACATCAGTCTGACTGCATTTTTGTTTTAATGTCATCACTGCACTTCAAAGCAAGGCAGACTTAGTCTGACTTAAGTTTAAATCTCTGTTTGACTAAACCTGCCTTCTGTGCAGGACTTCGTATCAATCTTCAATCCAACTACAATGACAAAAGATTTGTATTCACACTGCTCATGAACCTACCTCATTTAATGAATCCGACACAAGATGAGTTCTTCGAACTTTTAAATTTAAAAACAACATTCCTATATCTGGTAACTGTCTTCGCTGAACCTTAGCAACTAAACTTTTCTGTAAATAACAAAGAGATCAACCATATATGTCCTACTTTTCTGCTTTGAGTGGGCTAATGAAGGCCGGCAACACAATGCAGTGTACAAGAAGAAAATCACTCCAGGTTAGCAGCATTAACTGCACAGTCTTAAGTAGTGGGCCATGTTTTTATTGTAACATCCAAATGATTAGACACATTTTACCATGTTAGCCCCTACAACCTACATAAGGAAACTGGGTTGAAAAACCAAAAGAAGTCATGGCCATGTGGGAAAATCTCTTGAATTTTCAGGCATTTGTTTTAGACAACCAGCCATCCTTGAATATTCAAAATTAACCTCTCTGAATCTATTGACAACTTTAAAGGTAGATATGGCAATTCTTTCCAAATCTGTATTCTGTTAGTCAAGTGAACTGAGATATATATACCTACCCTCGCCATAATGATCATCTCTTGTTCAGAATATCTCTTTTATTTTGCACTTACCCTAGCCATAGTGATCATCTGCTGTTCAGAATCTCTCTGTTATGTTGTACTTACCCTAGCCATAATGATCATCTGTTGTTCAGAATCTCTCTGTTATATTGTACTTACCCTTGCCATTATGATCATCTGTTGTTCAGAATCTCCCTGTAATATTGTACCCACCCTTGCCATAATGATCATCTGTTGTTCAGAATCTCTCTGTTATTTTGTACTTACTCTAGCCATAATGATCATCTGCTGTTCAGAATCTCTCTGTTATTTTGTACTTACCCTAGCCATAATGATCATCAGCTGTTCAGAATCTCTCTGCTATATTGTAATTACCCTAGCCATAATGATCATCTGCTGTTCAGAATCTCTCTACTATTTTGTACTTACCCTAGCCATAATGATCATCTGCTGTTCAGAATCTCTCTACTATTTTGTACTTACCCTAGCCATAATGATCATCTGCTGTTCAGAATCTCTCTGCTATATTGTACTTACCCTAGCCATAATGATCATCTGCTGTTCAGAATCTCTCTACTATTTTGTACTTACCCTAGCCATAATGATCATCTGCTGTTCAGAATCTCTCTACTATTTTGTACTTACCCTAGCCATAATGATCATCTGCTGTTCAGAATCTATCTACTATTTTGTACTTACCCTAGCCATAATGATCATCAGCTGTTCAGAATCTCTCTGCTATATTGTACTTACCCTAGCCATAATGATCATCTGCTGTTCAGAATCTCTCTGCTATATTGTACTTACCCTAGCTATATTGATCATCAGCTGTTCAGAATCTCTCTGCTATATTGTACTTACCCTAGCCATAATGATCATCTGCTGTTCAGAATCTCTCTGTAATATTGTACGTTTGGCAGCAATACTTAATATAAATGGATACTGGCAGAAGGAAAATCTGGAATAGAGAATAATTAATTGTTTTAAAGAATATAATCATCCAAATATTTTGCCTCACTTGTCGATAAGAGCTCAATTTCAGTTATCCATATCACTCTTCAGAATTAAAATACTGTTAGCAATCATTCAATTGCACTGATTATGAGCTCTTGCCTTTGTTAAGCTAACAAGATGATTAGAACTATTCACTTTGGCTACAAAACGTTAGCCAAACCAGATTAAAAACTGTAACTATTATTGAGTTACCAAGCTGATTAAGATGTGCTAACATTACTCTTTTCATTTTTCTACATAACTGTCCATATCATGTCCAAATCAGATGATAAATCTTACATTTACAAGAAATGTTGGAAAGGAGAATAGAGATGTATGCTGAAATCACTACCCACTTCCCTGATAAATTTTCATTATATCAAGGACAGTCAGCAATCTGTGTCAAATCTAATTTGTCCAAGTATATGTTTAAACAACACACAAAATTTAATAAAATTCTGACATACACTGTTACCTCTTTCACGTTCAGAAGCCAACAGATTTTGATGCATTTTCCCTCAGTCAAGGGCAATAACTCAAAAACCGTTCATCGAAAATGTTTAAACTTAAACTTGACCAAGACCTTATCATAATAAATGATCGTATCAAATTGCATTTAAATTGGATAAAAACTGTAGTTTTCTAGAAGTCAAGGGCAATAACTCAAAAACCGTTCATCGAAAAATTGTCAAATTCAAATTTGACCAATATCAATTTATATGATCACACAAAATTTTAACAAAATCAAATAAAAACTGTATAATGTGGGCATATAATAACCAAAAATAAGAACAAAATGTCTTACCCTGCATGAGAACTAGGATTTTGCCAGGCATAATATTCAGCCATTAAATCTAAATGGTCCAATGTACTGTTATAGAATGCAGTATGGGGTACGATAGTTATTACAGTGTTGGCAGCATCTAAAAGAGGAACATTAGGTTCAAAAATTGGAATTTCTATGGGAATATTCACGTAATTGTAATAACAGAATATATTAGTTAGTTGTTAAAGGGATTGTAAAGAGGTTATCTAAATTAAAAGTAAAAGTGCATTGGGAAAACTGATTGCACTGATCTGCACCATTCCAATTTTCAGTCAGATGTCTGTGGTTTTAGCAATTCCACTAAAATTCAGTATTTTATGAAGAAACTATCGCAAAGGCCCTTGGTATTATTATTTTTGCCAGAGTGTCACCATAAAATGCTAAGTTTTAGTGGAATTGCATGAAGACGTCTGACTGAAACTGGATGAGAACACATCGACTTTAAAAGTGTTTCGATAGACATGAAAAGCTTACAAAACCTCTTTACAATCCTCTTAAACCTTAGCATCACTGACAGCTGCTCTACTGGCCATATCATATAATTACATATACCTGAGCAGTCAGTAAATCTGACGTTAAACATCACTTGACGTCATATAAATTTAAGTCATACTCTTTGATATATATATATATATAAATTGCAGTTAAAAGAATAAGACGTTTTATTTCATTAATACTCAGTGTTCGAAGGGTAAGGAATAAAAGTAACATACTCAATAACGCCATGACTTTTGTAGCACTGGGTATCCACCAAGAACATTTAGCTAGGGGAGGTAAATCTTGTGGTTTTGGTGGGAATAATCTCACTGATATAAAGTTATGTAGTCTATCTAATAAACTTTTAAATCTATCTCTTTCTAATCTATAATGTAAAATACAATATGATTCATCACAATCAAAGATTTATTTCACATCTGGCCAATGGAAATGTTGAAAATTGGCTACTAACTGAAGGTTTCGCTTATTAAAGTGTTACCGTAAAGTAAGGTTCCCCATTGTTCAGATAAATCATTATACAGATAATAAATCAAAACACTTATTCATCTTTATGTTTTCAAGATATTCTAATTTTGATACAAAGACTTTAGTATGAATTTAAGTAGGGCCTATTTCTTTACGTTTCAACGTTTGGGACTACCAATATGTTTGTTTACATTGGAAATGAAATGAATGGAGTTTTACGTCCTACTTTTCTGCACCTCGTGGGCTAATGAAGACGGGCAACGCCATGCAGGGTGCCAGGAGGGAAATTTTGCCAGGACAGCGGCATTAGCCTGCTCTTTTTCGATTTCCAATTGTTGAGGGATCTTTAATGTGCACAGCCTGTAGCACACAAGGCCTTGGAGACCTTCTTTTTGATACAATGACGTCAATGAATAACAACATCAACATTGGTTAAAATTACTACGCCTAATGTTTTGGTGATGAGGCAATGGCGTTTATAGTGATAGAACGCCACAGGAATTTGTATTAGTCCAATGGAAAAAATAATAGCTAATGTAAATATTTCCCTGTAAAAGGGCCTATAAAATCATTCGACTACTTTTACCGTATTCATGGAAATTCTCAACAGCATAAAGTTGTAAAAATGTTAGATTCAACCTTCTCGTCAAAGCCCTGGAATATGGGGAAATACGGTTTTAAATTGAACAATATGTAATGAAATGACAAGTACCTTTTTAACCAATGTACAAGAAAATGATGGTCATGATCAGATAAAGCTGCTATTTGACGTAATAAATGAGCAAATATCACATAAGTTGTAGTAGATCTAAACTGTGGATTCTTAAAAAAAAAGAATAACAAAATTAACAGATGATCAAAATAATAATAGCAAACTTCTTGTAGAAACTCAAAATTAAGATTTTTTTATCACAATTCCTTACTTCAAAATGTTCTCAAGTGCTTAACAGTGACAAACTTGTTAGTAATTTTACAAATTTCTACTACTTTTTTCCGCTTTCCTTCTTTAATAAATGAATCGCAATAATTATCACAATAAATTGTATTGTTGGATGACTATCGTATAGTGTATCGAATCGCAACTTCAAGAATCGTTGCAGCCCTATTGAAAAACTTCAATTTTATATTCATTCTAAGATGTAGTATCACTTTAATATAGAATATCTAAATATGAAATACCTGTAGTAATACTATATATGCTCGTAGATCATCTTTAGAATGAGGCCTACAATTAGAAATCAATATCAATAAAAATTTATGTCCCTTTAAAAAGACGTTTTTCGATGAACAATTTCATGGGTGATAATCAACAATTTCACCAAGTTTCACTGAAGTTGTGCCTTGCCTTTCAGATTGTTTACATGCTGTAAATTGAATGCTTTTTCAAGAACAAGGGCAATAACTCACATGAAATATTTTTTGATTGTCTGATTTTCAATAAGATTTATCCTTAGGTGATAACAAACACTTACACCAAGTTTCATCAAAATCCTTGCCTTTTAAAGTATTTGCAAGCAATTGTAGGCTGACAGACAGTAATGGGTGATGCCAATATATGCTCAAATTTTTCGGGGCGTGTTTAAACATCTTATATAGAAAATAGAAACAAAATAAAGACAAAATAATAAAGATATAGACAAAATTAATAAGTGAAATTATGAAGCATGTAAACTATCTATTATTGATATATGACTATCTATTACATAAAGATAATTATATATAAATCAATTGTATTGAGCACTATTTTAACAGTGAAAATATTTTTATTATTGTAAATCAATATATCATTCAATACAGTGTTAAGTGAGATTTCTGGTTCTTTTTATAAAAGACTTTACTTGAAATAAAATTCATTTTGATTTTTACGTTCTTATTATCCTACATCTTAAAATTTTAACCATGACAAACGTTCCAAGATGAAGACATCAAATAAGCAATATATCTAGCGTATATTAATATATTTTTAATTTTTTAAACACCTTTTTTTTGTCTAATTCGGCATTTGTATTTGCCTAATGGCTTTGAAGCTCCTAGACCAGAATATACCAAGACATAAGATTTCTATTTGCATATCTTTGTAAATTCTTATTCTCCAACACCTTACTATGCCACTGAAAAAGTAAATTCCAAACTAAGATGTGTTTTATCAGATTCTGAATTTTGTTTTTGTACCTTTCTATTGTGATTTAACAGTGTAGCAGACGTGAACAAATCTTTCACTTGGCGATACAAGTACCAAATTTAGTACAGAAGCTCCTCTGAAGCTACTCTTTCAAAAAAGTTGAAAAAACAAAATGGCTGCCATTTGTCAAGATGGCCACCTAATTTAAGGTGAAACAAGCTATTTTCCACCTAAAATATCAAATATCATATAGTGAAAGATTCTTATGGAATATTGATCTAATCTGCCCCACTAACAAGAGTGTTAAGTGATTATTCTTGTGTGTGTATTTTGGGACAATGATAGCATCAATTGCACCATTCCAATTTTCAGTCAGACGTCTGTGGTTCTTGCATTTCCACTAAAACTAAGTATTATATGACATATAAGTATAAAAGCTGCTATAGATATATAATAGACTAAAAAACTTCTTTTAAATCCCTTCAGGTCTGATGGTTGGTTAAACTGAGACTATAGATCTTATGAAATAGTGATTGAATTAAGTGTCTGAAGATAAACAGTGTGGTAGTATCAGGAGATTTAACAGTCTATTTCAAATAACATTAAATATTAAACTAAGGTTTTCTATATTTGTATGTATGAATGGTAAGAAACTGGTTGGATCATAGGAACTACATGTTGTTCCTGCATATAAATAATAGACAAGAACATTTGGTATCTCAATGTCAGACAAAATCACTCAATGTTTTAGAAAGATTAAAGGGGTATTCCGCTCTTTTTTTAAAAAGTTTTCATTATCAAAAAACGTTTTTTTTAAAGTATGCTATTTATATATATGTATCTTCTTGATCAAACTGAATCAATTAAAAACAGAGAGTACTAACTGTTAATTTGATCTAGTTTTATAATGGCTGGAAATTATTAGTTGACACCTTTAGAATACGCAGGAGACATATTTCTCTATAATTAGACATTGATTTTACTCAAATCAGTACAGTAGTTTTCTAACAGCTTCCAAAAAGCATATCAAACTTAAAAACCTTACGTAATGTTTTGAAATAGTTTTGGCATTTAAAAGTTAAAGGCTTGATTTTTTTTGTTAAAACTTTCAGATAGGTTAAAGGGCAGATATATCTTGATGTATAGTTTTCACAAATTTGAGCAAAGAAAATTTTCGACCTACAAAAAAAGCGGAATGTCCCTTTAAATATTTAAACCCTGTCTTCAAATCACACTTTCAGTTGGCTGACTGAAAACATATTCTAGTATGTGTAAATTTGAATCAGCCAAATCACAAAATAGTTGGTGGAGAGAAGGTGAGATGGTGATGAGAACAGTCTCATAAAAGCACTGGTCAAGGTCATAATTAGTTTTATAGCAAGGACTTATCTTTCTATTCACACCAACAATATTTTGGTTTTCCAAATTGTGTAGATATTGAAAACATTCTTTGGATGCTAACTGTTGAAAAGCAATTAAGACCCTACTATTTTCGTTTCACTTTAGAACATAACATGATTCCAGTTCAGATTTGAGTCACAGGCATGACAGTCAATTAAGTGTGTGACCTTGTAACTAAGTCAAGCGCATGGTTTCCTATGATAGTTGATTATCTTTAGAGACTTCATACATTGTCTTTAATTATTAATCAATAGCTACATATAATTCAAAGCTGGCTCAGTCTATTATTTACTTAAAGATGATATCACAGATTGATATTTTACTCAAAATTATCGAATTTTCTTAGTTTAAAATCATAATAAAAATCAGTCTTAAAGGGATTGTAAGGAGGTTTTCTAAATTTTGTATATATGTATCTGAGACAAAGATGGCACCAATTTGCGCCATTTTAATTTCCAATCAGACATCTGTGGTTCTAGCAGTTCTAACAATTCTACTAAAACTAAGTGTTCTATGATATCATTTGAGACCCCCCTAACAAAGGTCTTATGTGATACCAGCAAACTTTGCAGGGGTGACATCATAGAACACTTAGTTTTAGTGAAATTGCAGAAACCACAGATCTGATTGAAAATTGGAAAGGTGCAAATTGATGCTAACAGTGTCCCCGATAAGCATAACAAATTTAGAAATCCTCTTGACAATCCCTTTAATTTTTTTTGCATTTCCCAGATTTTTGCCGGAGCTTTGGTAATCTTCATCCAAGAACATGTTCCAACAAAACCATTTCAACATTGTATATTCTCTACTTCTATCACTCAAGGTAAAATGTGAAGTGAAGACTGGTACTAATCATTTTGTCTCCCAGATGGTCAAGCTCTTACAGAACAGAACATTTGATTGGTTAAATAATAAAAGTATGTCTTCATCATACTTCGAAATGAAATGAATGGAGTTTTATGTCCTACTTTTCTGCACCATGTTGGATAATGATGCAAGGTACAATGAGAGAAATTTTGCCAGGACAGCAGTATTAGCCTGCTCTTTTTCGATTTCCAACAGTTGAGGGATCTTTAACGTGCACAGCCTGTGGCACATGGGGCCTCAGTTTAATGTCCCATCTGAACAACGCTTTTTCCATGTCAACCTCTCTTACCTGCATTATTAATCATACTTAGAAAAAATTGTTTAAGTGAATTACCTACAGAGAAGTGATTCAAAGGAACATATTTAAGACTCATAGAATGATATCAAAAAATCTCTTTGATCTTTTTGTTGTATAAACACAGGAGACACATAGTCATGATATAACTAGTCATTTATGGTTATAGCCAGTTTTACTTATTATATGTATAAAATTAAATGGAGTTTCCTGCACCATGTGGGCAACACCATGCAGGGTACAATGAGGGAAATGTTTTCATGACAGCGGCATTATCCTGCTCTTTTTCAATTTTCTGTTTTCGAGGGATCTTTAACGTACACAGCCTGAAGCACACGTGGCCTCGGTTTATTGTCCCATCCGCACAAGTAGATGCTATTTCCATGTCAGACCCTCTTACCTGTATCACTGACAGGGGAAACCGGGTTGAAAAATCCGAAGGTATCATCTCAATATATGCCGGGATGAACCCTAGCAAATGTCTAACTCACTGAGCCACTGCGGCTCCCTATTATATATTTAAAGAGTCGCTCTTTGGGATCATTGTTTAATTCAGTTAACTCATAAAACTCCTACAAATAATACTTATTGCATTACAAAACTTTATCAAAAAATTAGCTGAAATAGAGAATGGTGAACAAGATACTAACACTGCTGTCAAAATGACTAATCATAACTTAGTCTCAGAAACAGGATTTTTTAAGCTAAACCAATCAGTAATAGTATTCACAGCTCACTGTCGAAATTTGAGCCTTCAAATCCATGTGTGTTCAGAATTATCCGTGTTTGAAAGTTAAAAAGATGAGTTGTCTTTTCTGAGGCCATATATAGAAAAAAACTTTAGAGGTATGTTTGAAGGAATTATGTGATTTTCGCACTGTGATAGTACTTCTGAAGACTATTTACAGATAGTCAAGCCACAAATCAACCCCAGAAATAGCGCATCTGTTCCTTCAAATCAACATTTTTTTTTTCAAAACTGTTCTTTGCACACTGAGAATTTTGAGGAGACATATCTACTGTGATACTACAAACTAGCCTGACTAATTAGTGAATGTCGTAAAAGTCAATTAGTAGGCATCTTTTCTAACCGAAATGTCACCTTTAAAAGTTAAAGTATTTACTTCTTAATACACCATGACAACCGAATAACAATTGACAACAATCATTCCTGTATTTCAAATCAATACCTTTTAAATCAATGTTTTCTTTCAAATATTTCAAGTTATATAACATCCACTAATGTTTTAGTTTCTTTTGACATCAAAGACCAAAGTCTGCTGCAACAATTTACTTCATTTTAGTCATTAAATTAGATGATCAAAAACTGTTAAAGAAGTGAATTGCAAGTCTTTTAAAAAAACATTTGTTTTACTGATTGTGTATTGTGTATTTCAAAGACAAAGAATCAAATTTCTCTTGATCATAAAGAGCTATTGTTTGCAACATTTAGCAATTATATTTAAAGGGGGCAATATGACAAATTTTCAGTAGTTGCACAATTTTTTGGGTACAGATACTGGATTGGCAAACAGTTAAAGATTCTGTTTCATTAATATTTTTTTGGGTCTCCATTTTAATCTAACAAGGTTTATACCAAAGTCTGGTGACACTACAAGCTACGCCATAAGATGTATTTCACTAATCAAGTTAAATCATGTGCAATGTAGCACAAAGCAAGTAAACCTAGCCATTCTGACTACTGTCCTGTTAACACCTTGAAGTCTTGTCATGGTTTTCTACATAAAGTCTCACTATTAACCTTGAGTTGTTGTTGATCAACGTGGAAGGGTATATCCTAACTAACTGTCGCTATTTAAAGCAGCCAATCATGTGCTACTCTCCTGCCAATCAGAATCCCTTTTACAAACATGTATCGTTTCGGAAGTCATATCGCCTCCTCTCGCCGATAGAGGTTTCTCTTTCCCACAATTCATAGTCAATATTTCGACACAGAGTTTTCATGACATGCTGTGATTGGTTGAAATGAACTTCAACAGTACCGGTACGCAACCATGGTATAAATACATCAAGAGTTCAAAAAAAAAAACAAAAAGAAGTTGTCATCTATTTTAAATTATATTGACAGAAAATCTTGGAGTATTTAGAGACAGGTTCAAAGTGGCAACAAATAAATAAAGATATATCAAAAGTAGAATCATTATAGAGTGCATTAAAAAGTGCATTATAGAAAAAAATAACATTTAAAGGGATTGTAAAGAGGTTTTCTAAATTTTGTGTGTATTGGGGACACTTTTAGCATAGATTTGCTCCATTCCAATTTTCAATCAGAAGTATGTTGTTTTAGAAATTCTACTAAAATCAAGTGTTTTATGACGTCACCCAGCAATTTGCTGGCAGCAAAAGTCTTATGTGATACAAGCAAATTTGCAGGAACCACAGACGTCTTATTGAAAATTGGAATGGTTCAAATTGATGCTATCAGTGTCCTCGATTCACATAATAAATTTAGAAAACGTCTACAATCCCTTTAAGAAGTAAATCATATTTCACTTTCATAGCTGATAACTACTATTGATCTATTTTATCAAGTCAATCTTTTTCTTAGGTGCCTTGCTTATAAATAGTCTGGGAAAACAAAATCAAATTCAATTATTATTTCAAATGTGACCCCGCACATCAAACCAGGTATTAAGTAGCATTTGGTGTATGTAGAGCTATTAGGATTCCTGGCATTATCAGCTACATTTTGATACCAATTCCATCTCAATAGCTTTCTCCGTTCAGAAGATATAGTCAATTTAATATCCAGATATGAGTCCAATTTAAAACTTCACTGCTAGCTCACTACTGGGCAGTGCAACTTAATACCTGATAGATGTGCAGGGTCACAAATATATAAATGTCAAGATGAATAATACAGCAGCATAAATTAGAGTCTTAAAGCTTGTAAAAGGAGGATATCCATTAAATATAGGTGATTGGATGACAATACAACATTTATTTTTTGTGTTCTTACCAAACTCTATGGTCCCTATGTCTGCATGAAATAAATAGGATAGAAAACATAAAAATATAATTTCAGCAAGGCAACTTTACCATATCAAACACTTGATTTGTTAATATTGGCTATTGTTTCATTGTGTGTATGAGAGACAACTTTTGTTTCTATTTGCAAGGGCTTTTTAAAATTTGGTTGTTATTTCAGTAGAGAAATAGGAATCTATTTTGCTAACGAGTAGGATCCCTTTTTCTGAAATGCCATCCCAGAGTTGATCAATGGAATGCCATCCCAGAGTTGATCAATGAAATGCCATCCCAGAGTTGATCAATGAAATGCCACCCCAGAGTTGATCAATTAACATGCCATTCCAGAGTTGATCAATAAAATGCCATCCCAGAGTTGATCAATTAACATGCCATTCAAGAGTTGATCAATGAAATGCCATTCCAGAGTTGATCAATGAAATGCCATCCCAGAGTTGATTAATGAAATGCCATCCTAGAGTTGATCAATGAAATGTCATCCCAGAGTTGATCAATGAAATGCCAATAAAATGCCATCCCAGAGTTGACCAATGAAATGCCATTCCAAAGTTGATCAATGAAATGCCATCCCAGAGTTGATCAATGAATTGCCATCCCAGAGTTGATCAATGAAATGCCATTCCAGAGTTGATCAATGAAATGCCATCCCAGAGTTGATCAAATATAAATACAGTTGACTTACTTTTTATCTTTCAGCAGACTATTAATAATAGCTTTCAATACATCTTTCTGTACATCTTGAGGCTACAATATACAAAAGGGTCTTGATAAGATAGATGTTTTTTAATTTACATTAAAGTCTTCAGAACTACTAGAACTGCACGAAAATCACATAATCTGGACACACATGGATTTGAAGGCCCAAGTTTTGGCAATGAGCTTTGAACAAATTTACTAATTAACTCTGCTGAAAAATTCACCTTTATGAGACTAAGGTCTTGGATGGCAAACCTTTTCCTTTAAGATAAAGTTTAGTACAATAGAAATATTAAAACAGAACCTGAAACATATTGTTACTTGGCGATCTTCAGCGTTAAACTTTGAATAACAATTTGTTTCAAGTTCTGTTTATGTATTACTCTACAATTGATGTACTGAGCACTATTTTAACATTGAGAATATTTTGTTGTTGAAAAATACAATAAGATTTCTAAAGTTTACAGATCAATATGAATATTTTTCATAAAAACAGAAATAACCTGAATAATCATTTTCTAAATATATTACAATGCCCAAACTTTTGATTTCTGTGCGAAAGATTCGCTTTATGTAAATCATGGTCTAATTTGGAGTCTATTTGGAAAAATTTTCATGAAAGATCTCTATATACAGGGCGTGATTTTGGTATTCACAACATCTGGACTAATTTTGATATGGTATCACCTCTAAGAACATGACAAGAATTTCTATATAAATGAATGAGGACAAATTCTGTCTATTTATAATAAACATGCTTTAATAAGTCTCAAAAAAATCTAGAACTTACCAACTGTATGAGATTATCATATACAATTGAAATAAAATCCAACTTAAGACCCGAATCTTCTATAGTTTTATACTCTTTATTTGGATCTCTCTGAAAGGACAAATACATTGCTATTTAATAGAATTGAAATTACAAATATATCCAGTCAGAAAACCTGGGGGGGACATGTTATCCTGTGTCCCCCCTCCCACAAATGGTCAAGCTTGGTGGAGTAGAGTGTCTGTAATGGACGTAAAATAGGCACGATTTGGCATCCTAGAACATCAAAGTGCCGAAATTTTGCTCCTCTGGAGCATTATTCAAACAATTTATGGTCAAGTGACGAGCAAATTTTATTTTTCAAATTGTTATAAAGTTTTTCATTATTTATTCCTTTCACCAGCAGCTCAACTGAAACGTTCTCATGTCGCTTTATTCTGCAATCGAATTCGCACCCCCCCCCCTCCACATTGAAAAAGCAATCTGCGCCCTGCATCAAGTTTGTATGTTCACTTTGGTGTCTTTGACCACAATTTCAACTAAAATATACATGAATGACTTTAAACTTTTAAGTGTTTCTTGGTCTGTATTTTCCAGTTATGACCTGCAGATAAGTGGAATTGTTTGTTTTTGGCAACGTTTTAAGACTTATAGTATCAATTTACACCCTTTCCAATTTTCAGTGAGACATCTATGGCTCTTAGATAGTGATGTCATACACGGTCCAGAATTTCTAGAATTAAAGGACCAACAAATTAAAATGATGCAAATGTATTCAATAAACGACCTCCATAAAAAGCTAGAAAACCTTAAGAAAACCTCTCTGAGGCATCCAACTAGAAATAAAACAATGGGAAACTCTTCTGATAAAACAGACAAATGATCAAAATAGAAAAAATTGAAATTCCCTATGGTCTCTTTTATACTAAGAATCTGAATTTGAAACATTTATCATAACTAGAGGTTATGTTAACCTGGTAATTCTCAAAAGTATTGTACATATAGATCACCAGACAAGATAACATACACCCACTGGCAGCTGTCAGAAATAATGACAATGTCTTGATTACCGAACAAAGTTCAATAGCTTTTTGAATTTTTCCCATTATTGTTCCATCTAAATTTGAGCCTTCTAATCTAGGTGTTTTCAGAATTATCATATATATATAGAAAAGACATATATAGAAATAGTGATTAAAATTCTTAGTTTGAGGTATTTTTGAAGGAATTATAAGATTTTCGTACATTTTTAGTACATTGCTTTCAGACTATCATATGAATAGTTGAATATAGGTCAAGGAAATACTTCCACTTCCTTGATAAATATGGATGACCAATTTTAATAAACTACCGCAAATAGTAAAGATAGCTGAGGTAGATTTGCTCCAAGTGGTTAAATAGGACAGCTTCTTGCTAAAATTCAATTATCACAAAAAAATATACACTTCTTGATAATATTTTGTAACCGCAGTAGAACGTCTCTCTTTAAGTAATTAATTGCGTTAAAATAACACATTAATATATACCTATTTCAGTTTAGTAATTTGAAATATATTAATACAAAATATTTATAAAATTCATTAAAGTCTGAGTTATTATAACTCCCGAAACGATCTTAAAAACATAACAACATGGCATTGAAGGAAGACAAAATGGCGGATCCTCAACATCAATTCCCAATATTTTCGAAGGGGAAAAAAACTCAAAATTTATTTCACTGTGTATAGTGCACACCCTTTCTGTAAGGGACCCATTTTAGGGTAAGGGACCCATTTTAGGGTAAAAAACCGTGCATTATATTCGGAAATATACGGTAATGGTATAATATATGTCAGCTTTATAATAAATGGGATTGTCATTAAATTCTTTCTCTTGTTGTTGAAATATGAGTTTCATTAATAACACACTGAATAATATATGACATATTCAGGTGACATGAGTAGGTCTCAATTAGACCGAAACATCCGTCTCTATTCCAGCCTCTGCTAGCTCTTTTGACAGTTGTCAGCTGGTGTAAGGACAGAAAAACTAGGCCCTGTTATTGGGGATTTTCTGCACCTCTGAAGGTGTGGATTTATTTAAATTGTATCTGCCAAATCCAGTTATATGCAAAAAGATGGATATTTTTGTTGTTCAGTCACCATCATTATCCCCCTACACAATTTATGTAAAGCTTGTGGTTCCTGCAAATTTTTTGCGTTTAACAAAACTAATCTCTCGCCTGTCATTTAAGAGTATATGCGCACAGCCAACATTTCAAGGATCACAGAGTGATGTGACAGGCCTACTAATGAAACGAAAAATAAGGGTTATGCTAAACACTAATTTACAGTCATCGTAAATGTAATTTAATATCATGTATCATGTTTAAAAACATGCAACTTTGCAGGTGTGGAAAATCCCCATAAAACTGGGTCTATATTTTCTGCCTATACTCCAGCCAACAACTGTCAAAATAGCTATCAGAGGCTGGAATAGAGGCAGATGTTTTGGGCTAGGTCTCAATGATCTGACATGCCACAAAGTCATGGATCTTCGATATATTTCTATCATGAACTATTACATTAAAGATTGATTTACCACATATTCTCATGTTTGATTGCTATTTCAAGTGTCATATCCTGCTATTTTTGGAAATACTACCATTTAAATGGCGAAAAAAAGCGTCAAGTACATATCGAAACATGTCTATTGTAGATTGGATTGTCACGTATAGGTGATTTGAACTTATTGATCAAGACAATAAAATAAAGCCTAATCAATAATAATGTCCGCATCTATCACCTTTGGGCTACGAGATACAAATCAACATATTCTCTAACATGAATATGTCATTTCTTTCAAGAAATATCTTTCAATCAAAACAAAGATTATTCATTTAGGACATGAAGGTATTTATCTTGCAAGTAATGGCTTCCAGTTGCACTATTTTGATTACCCATTCCAATATCTATAACACCATAAAAACAATGTTCCAATTATCATTCAGTCTAAATTGCATAGTTTATTTCATTTGATATTAGGCATCCTATAAGACGCCAGCGAAACCCAACACCGTTAGTCACTGTTGGCCTTGGTAAGCCGTCGCCATAGTTTTTTTTGGCCAACTGCGTAAGAGCAAGTGCATCTTAAAGGTCAAAACCATTTTTTTCAATGAGGTTTTGTGGTCTTGATTGTGAAATATATAATACTCCATGCCAACATGTAGAGGAAGATGTCCCTTACCTTTCTTGAAAGTTTCAACATGAAAAATTAAAGCGTTAAATCACCATCGATAAAATAATTTTTAAACAGTTACGTAAGAATTTTAAATCTCGTGTTAGAAAATAAAAGTAGCGACCAACTTCGTTATTTTCATTTCTCATTATTGTGATTTTGTGAAATTTACATGTAATTCCTTTCCAAGACGCTAAGAAACGAAAAAAGAAAAATACTAATATCCCAAAAACAAAATGTTTGCCTTCATTCATTGTAGACTAAATTTTAATGTATTCCATCTCCTTAATATATACTTTATAATGTAAAACTGCACGAAGCAGTCGTAAACTGAAGTCAAGTTAAGTCAGAATTCAGCAGCATACCCAACTTAATAGCTGGAGTTTCAGCCAAGTTGATCACAGTTATCACAACGACTTGTTCACAGGTCTAGTTGTTTCTGGGCCAAGATATTACAGTATTGAGCAAGTCAAATATAACCATGACCAATAGATTTCAATGGAAGAAGCCTTATTTTAGAAATCTTTAACTTACAGAAACCTAGTAATTCAAACACTTGAAATCATCATTGAAAATTCAAAATGTAAAACTGATCTTTATAGACAGAAATACACATTGTATTTGTGCCTCAAAGTCCATGACCTTAAAGGGACATATGCTCCATTCGGGCCTTGTATATAATGTAAATAGTACATTAGAAATATACAAAAATCATATAATTCCTTCAATAATATTTCAAACTAGGAAATTCTTTTCCTATTTCTATAGATGTCTTTTCTATATATATCAGTGTCTCAAGGAAAGACAACTCATCTTTTTAACTTTCAAATGCAGATAATTCTGGACACACATGGATTTGATGGCTCAAATAAACACTATTGGCTTTGCTAACTAAACTTTGATTGGTCAACAAAACTGTGCAAATGTCGCTTTAAAGACAGGAAGTTCTTCAGGAGAATGAATACTTAATTAGAAACGTTTATGTCTATCATACATTCCTAAAAAGCTTTTGAGATAAAATAAAAACAGGATTAAGCTATTAAAACACATGTTTACCATGCCATTTATCAAATAATAACCTGCTAATATTTTCTATAGATTTCATTGAAGCAGATTAACAGGCATGGTTTAACAATACTTTCCAAGTGTAAACGGAAACCGGTTGTCTGGTTCTTGTGAATATGAATAAGAGCCGTTCGTTAAGTTCTTTTTATTACCTTGTAATATTTTCCTACAATAAACACCAATGGGTAGATGACTAAAGTAGGGATTAAACGAGATATGATTCCGGGTAAACAGAAACATCTGCCTCTATTCCAGCTTCTGAATTCTGATAACTATATTTTAAGTTGTAGGGTGGTGTAGAGACAGAAAAACTAGGCCCTGTTTAGAGGGATTTTCCACACCTTCAAAAGTGTGGAGGTTTAAACATATCTATTTAAATAGGATCCCGCAAACCTAGATATATTCCAGAAAATTAGAAAAGACTTTTTTTCTGAATCAGCCGATAACTATCAAAATACGTCTTAGAGGCTGAAATAGAGGCAGGTGTTTCTGGCTAGATTCTGGGATTCTAGGGTGTTGCTTGGTGCAAGATTATCAATACAGTAGAGAATAGAAGAAACAAATCATGTCCACATCTTTTCAGACCTGTAGCTGTAAGATAATTCTGCATCAATCACCACACTGGACACTGTACCTTGCCTATTCACATCTTGACCTGTTGACCAAGGTCATTCTTCAACCCATTAACAATTCATTTAATCAGACTGTATGTTTTTTATCTGGGCAGAAAGCACTTAATATGTCATTTATTTACATCCTATAGTAGTACTGTAGAACAATGGGTCTTAATTTGATAGTACAATGGGTCTAAGAGTCTAAAAGACAACTTG